CTTCATGCACCGTAAGGTTTTGAAGATCAGCACGGTGGTTTAGTCACGCCTCCTCGAACTATTACAACTGTTTTTCTACGAGGAGTCAGAACTCAGACCGGTGTCAAGCGCTTTAGCGCCTCAATGGGATTTGGGCTTTAAAGTGCTGCGCGCACTGGGTAAAGCTCCTTTTGAACCCATTAAGATCAGGTTCCCCTGAAGTTTTTGTCAGCCAAGTAGCTCTGCTCTTAGCCTGACGTCAGTGCTAAAAGGGTGAGTGACTTGTCTGCTCTCTCGGTGGTCCGTCACTGTCTCCAGATCTCAAGGAGATGGCAGCTCGATCCTGTATTGCGGCACCGAGACGCGTTTATGCCAAAGGTGATCACAAGCTCTTTTAGTCAAGAGTGATAACCTGGGGGCTTCTTTCCCCTTCACACATCAACGGAAGAAGCCACTTCTCATCTCTCTGTCGCCCGTGCGTGCCGCTGGCAGGCTATATTGGCACGCACGGCTGCTTACACAAATCCCAGCGTCTGTTTGTACATTATAGAGAGCGCTCATTAGTGCAAGCCTCTATCTACATAGCGCTGTCACACTGGCTATGTGAGGCGGTGGTCACGGCGTATGTTCCGCTGGTTGATCCCCCGGAGAACATTAAAGCACACTAGCACAGGGAGTTTCAACCTATCGGCGTTCGCACGAGGAATGACAGTCGGAAGACATGTTGCATGCTCATCTCTTGGTCTTCACACCCTGTTCTTTTGAGGCGCGAGGGATTGTTCCCATTCCTCTCTGACACATTCATACTGAATAGCCTGTCCAGAATGAGATCAGTCGGAGGTTTTTAATTGGCTAGCCCTCTCTCCTGGCTGTAGGCACTTAGAGAAGCTGCCCTTTTTCCCCTCTCTCGCAGACTCGGTTCTATCTTGTTATTAAACGACAGGTAGCCTAAGTAAGCCTAACCCTCGATTCCCTGATGGAGAATATTCATTTTTTAAATGCTTATATTTCCCTGGGAATGTGATGCTCCCATTTACGCCGGATGAAATGGAATGGGTTAGTTAAACTAGTAGGTTGGTTTTGTGGCTTCTGGTAATAACGGCACGGCAAACCAGTGGGGCGTAAGACTACATCCTGCTTCTTCGGCTTAACCAATAAGCGATAGCCCGTTAGCAGGGAGCGAGAGCCTCTATACGATATAGATGAGGGTTACCGATAAGGTAACCCAGCTTCATGAGATGAGGCCGCAGCCCTCTAAGGTTCGGGCCCCACTGGCTCCGTGAATAGCTGAAGAAAAGCTGTTTGTGTGGGAGTAGATGGTAGGGCCTACTTCCTATTTATACGGAAGTGAGCCCGGAGGTGGGGCCCACGTCATAGGTGGGCGTGGATTAAATCTGTCAGTGCTGCACACGTGCAGGAGGGATTACCCAATAGCGATAGCCTTAGAGGGCTGCGCCTATACTCATAGAAGCTGGGTTACATTACGTAACCCCAGATGTCTTTTATTTTGAAAAGTGTTCCCCCTCCCGGTTTTTCTGTTGCTCCTGATTATGTTCACCTGTTGCACTGTGTTGTCTCCTCCCCCCCCCCACCTGTGTCTAATTGGTTGATTAGGGTGTGTGTGTAGGCTCTGTTTCCCTGTCTGTTAGGAGGCTGGTAGTATGTGTGAGATCCTTGTGGCTGCAGGCTGTGGTCAGGGAGAAACAGCAGGATTGAGGCTGTGTGTCATATGTTCATGACTTAATAAATGCCAACACCGGGTTGTATTTTGGATGTTCTGCCTCTGCCTCCTTGCTTGGTCGTGCCGCTCAACGGTCAGCTTCATACTCGGAACCGAGTTTTGCTTCCCAACTCTGCCACTGTGCTACGCGTCCTGCCCGCCCCGTCTAACAGTACAAAAAGTGGGGGTCCTTAATCAATTTTTTATTATTTTTATTATTATTAATAATAACGTTTGCATAGACATTTTTCAGGGGCGGACTAGCCATCTGTATAATTTCCCCGCAACGAGGCTCCCCCTTTGACAATCCACTAGCGCAGTGTTTCTCAAACTTTTTCATACCAAGGACCACTTAAGCAATAAAAAACACTCACGGACCACCTAACTCCACAAATATCCCAAAACAATAGGCCTGCTTACCCATTCCAATAGTATATAACAAATTACAGCCTAATATTGACAGCTTAACCTTCTCTATATCGCCTCGTTCACACATTAAATCAACAATACAAATACAACTAGATTGTATAAGCATTTAGTTCAAATGCGATTTAAAATCCTCTCAGGTTTTACACCTCTTATTATGAAATGTAGACTACATTTATTACGAGTTTATGATTTGATTTTGGCTACTGAGAGACATATTGCAAAAGTAACCGCAATGTAGTACAACCACAAAAACACCCTCCGCGTGGATTTCAAAAACAACAATACACCAATAAAACCTATGGTCGCAGACCCAAGTTTAACCTCTCTGCGAGGCCTGCATGGTCTGCTTACAAAAGAAAAAGAAAAAAAAACGTTTATGCAGCCGCCAAACCAACAGGCTCTGATCCAAAAACACCCTACGAGCTTCATCGCAATGTTCATGGCGAGATGCATTAGATTAATAATCTCTTCTGCCCTCCTCAAACACATCTAAAATCTACTTTCAGCCATGGATAAATGTTCATAAAATAACACATTGTTTAGTCATATGCTGTCTTGAAATCTAAAAAACAGCATTCGTTTTTCTAGAACAGATCAAATCGCCTGAAAAGGTATCAAACAAGTGGCAACATTTTGACGAAGGTGTTGCCTGGGCTATATAACATGCAATCGAAAGATGAAACTTTGAACTCGCTCCATGCAGGAGATAATTCCCCGCGGTCGGAAACGAAAATTAATTCACTAAGCTATAATACTTCAACGCCTTATTTTGGCAAAGGGGGAAGGCATGTAGAGGATGAAGAGGAGGGCCAGCACCGAACCCCCTAGGGGGACGCCTTGGAACACCGAGGAGGCAGTGGTAGGAGGTGGCAGTTGTTAGATTTGAATAAACTGATGTCTGTCGGTGAGGTAGATTTCAGCTCAGGAGAGGCAGTGTCGGTGATGTTGAGTGATGATTCGAGGAGGGAACAGGGCAGGAATGGGCGTGGTTGATGGTGTCGAATGGGCGGTGAGGTCGAGAGGGTAAGGATGCTCAGCGGCTGCCCCCCGCGCGGAGCGTGTCAGAGGAGAGGAGGAGGTGGCGTTTGTGATTTCAGAAGAACTGTTTTTGCGGTGCGCTCCGCCTGTTGATCGGACAAACCGGATTGAAAATGGCCCTCAAAAGAGGGTCCACTGTCGAGCTGGGAGGTGGGGTTGCAGTGTGAGGCCAATTGACACGTTCAAAAACGTAGAATTTTTGACAGAAAGGGACCGATGTCTGAGATGGGCCGAAGTCTGCGACACACACCCCGGATCCCCAGCGTGTGAGTCGCAGGTCTTTTAGACATCGGGTTTGACAGGGCAGCCAGTTTGAGATAGGGGGAACTGATCAGGATCTGAGGGAAGGGAAGTTACATGATCGGTGGTCGATGAGCTTGGCGAATGGGCAGGGAGGCCTCTCTTCTAACAAATTGGTGGGCGGCATTGCGGGTCAACGGTGCAGGTGTGGAGTTTAATTCGCAGCTCATAGAAGTCAGACGAGTTGCATGGGGTCAGCAGGTGGAGAAGTGGGAACAGGGGCTGTGAGGTGAAGGGAAAGGGAGCCAGGAGGGGAGGTGGGGGTGCTGATGAGTGTGTCAGATTGCTGTAAAGTGTTGCTGATTTTGTTTGGAAAAAATGAGAGGAAGGAGTTGGGGCAGCCTGTTCGGCTGGTGGAAGGATGAGGGGCATGTCAGCCAGAACAAAACCAGGGTTTAGAGAAGATTTGCTGATGGTGGGAACAGACCGCTTGGGGTTGCTGGAGGCAAAGACTGAATGAGTTGTGAGTAGTAATTGAACTGGGCTGCTTTGAGTGTGTTTACTGTACGCTGGAGATAGTCTTTGTAGATTTGTAGATGACTGTTAGTGTGGTTTTCTTGTGTTGGCGTCAAGTTGATGTTTCCTCTGATTTCATTTGGCGGGAGTTCCGGGTCTACCAGGGGGGCGGAATGTATGAAAGAGAATGGCTTTGTTTTTGTGGGGGCAGTTAACTATGAGACAGAAAGGAGAGGGTCGGCTGTTATAATAGTCCACAAGTTCAGATGGGTTTCATAAAATGGGGGTGGGGGGCGGCAGACATCTTGCAGGTAATGGAGGCCAGCTGATTGCTGAACGGTGAGCATGGATTTGAGATTTCTGAAAGGTTACTTGTGGCGTTTTTGCTTTTGGGCGGGGATGGGCCATGTTGATGTCCATGAGATGCGCTGGTCGATCCAGAGATTGGAGATTTGAAGGCTGGACAGATGATGGATCGTGAGACCGCTAAGTGGAGCAAAGACACTCGAAATGTCAACCATGAATGTTAAAATCAACCATAAAGAAGGAGAAGGCAGAATGGGATACGGCAGAAAGCCTGGTGAGGGATGTCAGGAGAGGTCGGAGAAGAAAGGAGGGGTTTGGCCTTCGGGGCGACGGTAGATGATGGCTGTGACCGGGCAGTGGGACGCAGAAGTTTGAGATCAGGTGTTCAAATGAAGAAACCATCAGGGATCGGGGATTATGTAGTTTTTATTTGCCTTCCTGATATGCAGCTATACCACCTTCGTCCGCGTGCAGGTTTTGTCAATGTATGTGAATCTTGCTGGGCGTGATTTATTTAAAGAAAAATAGCGTTTCGTCAGATAGCAGAAAGTCCAGGTTATGTCTTGTAATTAATTAAATTCAGGAATGTGCCTTTTATTGTGGAATGAGGCGTGTGTTGAGGCGCAGTGCTGGCTCGAGGTGACAGGTTGCATTGGGGGGTTGTTGTGGAAGCCGGGACGTGGAAAGGAGATTTGTCAGGAATTCACGTTTGTTTGTTGTCATGTGGCCGTAGTGTGGCGTGTGACAGGACGGAATGGACGGGATGGAGGTGGAGAGCGGGACATTAAATACAAAACTTAACGGCCCAGAGCCGTACTTGTGGAAGACGGCGTTTGCGGAGTATTCATTATCCTGCGGGATGTCCATGGCAAGTCGCGGAGGCAGGCGGTTATTAAAGGAGTGGAATCTGACGGGAGTAGTAGCGGCGCATGATCGCGGCTGAAGTGGGGGCACTAGCACAAGCTAGGCCTGATGCTGGGGAACCGGGCCAGGCAAGGAGAGGGAGGTCGATGAAGCCGTGGAAGAAGGAGCGGTGTGTATCCATCCAGTTATAAATCAAAAGATAATCCAGCAGCATATCAGGAGAGATTAGCTTGCCAAGTGGTTTCCGGAGGAGAATCGGTAGGAGGGGGCTGACAGGCCTGGTGGGGCAGAGTCCTAACCTACATTATCAGACAAACATGGGTAATGATTAGGAGGCAAGCTGAGTTATTATTTGTTAAAGTCTTTGCAGGCTAATTCTGTTATAGCAGTTCTGTCATCCCAGTTTACTTTAATACTATTTGTTAAAACATTATTGTTTCTTGCTGATGTGGAAATATTCATGTATTTAATTTAAATGAAAAAAAAAAGGCAATTGTTAGTTTTGTTCGCCCGAAAATTCCTGCTTTAGTTGGTTTACCTTGTTTTTTTCTCGCAAAAGCACCGATAAGAGTAGTGTTTAAAAAGAGCCGACCGATAAGCCGGTATGCGATAAAGTAGTAGTACCATTAAAACCTTAACGCATACCCATCCCACGTGGCGAGTGTGCAGCCGGACCCGCCTAGTGGGGAGGGCTTTCCCCGCCCGTTCCAAGGCCCATGCTGTAATGCAGGCTCACAGAGCCATCCTGGTGCAGGCGTATCTTTTGGAGAGAG